CGCTGATAAAACAAGTAATTAAGTAATTTCTCAGTCAAGAAAGAAATTCCATTTTAAGAGTTTGTGACCTCTGCTGCCGTTTGTGCCTTTGCTGGCCTAGGACGTGTGAGATGTCTCCCTCCACACCTTCCTGCAAGCTGGAATCACAGGGGGATGTGTGAGCCTGGATCCAGCATGGCTTTCCCAGCCTCTGCTGCTTTGGCCAGAGCAGAGCCAGCAGCAGCTCAGCTCTGACACGGGAGAGCTGAAATGCTCAAAGCTGGAGACAGGGAAACTGCAGGGGACAGCACAATCCTGTTTACAGCACTTGGAAACTGAGAAACAGGAGACTCAGTTTTAACTCCGAGGTCCATGACTTTCCATCTTTTGTGATCATACAGTATATTTAGCTCTGGTATGTAGCTTGCTCCCATCTGTGGGGAACAAGTTCTTCACGTATGTCATATTTAGAAGTGACCCGGTGTCCTTGCTACCAAATTATCAGCACAACAACTGTCTGGTTCCCTGGCTGGTGCCCTCAGCTCGGAGGCAGGATGCCCAGGGCTGCATTCATCATTCGAATTACTGGGCATGTGCTTAACACTACGAGTTAGGGACCAGTATGCCAACAGCTGCACAGAGGAAAGACGAGCTCGAGTACAAGCTGGACTGCTCCGAAAATTCAGATGCGTCCATCAATCTGCCACGCTGGGACTACTGGCACCAGCCAGTGCAGCAGAGGAGAATTTTGGATCTGCCACTCCCCAGCTCCTGCACCAAGGGGAAAGGACTCGGGTCACTGCTGCTAAGGAGGCTGCTCTTGTGCTGGGGAGGGTGACAAGCAGATCCACTGAAGGCAGTGGAATCACACAGCGAAGATGGCACAACCTGAGCTGTGTGCCATAAAGACAAAATTAGAGCCAGCTCAGCCTCTCCATCACACACCTGTGCTCTGACTGCACAGGAATGGCTCAGAGCCTTCACCCAGAGTCTGTCCCTTGCAACAGGTCTACGACTGTCCTGAGCCTGGCACACCATTTACACAGCCAAGTGTAAGGTCAGTGTATCAGACCAAGCTTTCCTTTTGTATTGTTCTACAAGCAGGACATGAGCAAACTGCACCTAAACCCAAAACAAACGGTACACCAAGCCCTTGGGCTTGACACTAGTACTTGCCATCTTGAAGCAGACATCCAAGCTGATTCACATAGCCATCTGATCTGCTTATAAATATGTGCCTATGCTTAAAACCCACTAAATAAATAAATAAAGGATCTCTTTCCTCCTGGCAAGCATTTGGTCTGAGAAGCAGCCACCATGCCCAAGCACTAGCAGCTGAAGCTGTTTGGAAACTGGATTTGAACATTCTTTTAGGAAATCCCCGCAAAGCTTTCATGTTACTTGTACAGGATAACATCAGGTGCCAGGTGCTCCATCCCCAGGAGCCACCTGTGGCCAGCAGAGCGGGATGGGTTTGGGATGTGATCCTGCAGCTACCCAGCTCTGGATAAGTGAGCAGTAGGAAGTGGGAGCAGGGGGATGCCAGCTGACAGAGGCTGAGCAGAGCATGGCCAGCGTGTGCTGCTTTACAAGCATAACCACAGAAAAGATGAAAGTTTGCTTCCTTTTATTTTTAACCCAATAGAGAAATTTTAAGGATAAACAGCTGCAAGGGAAGGTGGGCTGACACAAAGAGGGACTTTCTTCACTTCCTAACTTCAGCAGCATCAGTGCATGAAATTTTAAACTCAAAGCAATTTAACTCTTTGTGATGCTGCCTGAGACCAAATGTGGGCCAGAGGCAGGGGGTCACCACAACAAGCAATTACACAAGGATGGGGTCTCTGGAGTGTGCTGATATGGAAAGAGCTGGATCCTGCTACAAGAGACAGCTTTATGTTTCCAAGAGCTCAGTCACTTACTCAGTCACTGGTAGATCTCCCACACAGATAGCTCCATTGCTGAGGCACAGCCACAGGAATGCATCTGCCATATGCTGCCTGTGTCCAGAGCAGCAAGCATGGCTGCAAAGCAGAGAACTAGGGAATCCCCGTTCCCTGCACAGAGTCAAACCTGTCTCCAGCACCAGAGTCCCAGAGGAGGGGACTAAGAGGTGGGCACCAAGCAGCTCTGCCATATCACCTGATCACGTTAAGCATGGTAGCTGCAGGGACACGCTGTGGCACTGCCAGGTGCCTCCAAGCAAAGAGCAGTCTGTAAGCCTCAGGCTGAGCCCCGGGCCTAATGCTGCTTCCCTAAACTCAGGAGCCAGATCTCCAAGTCACCCTGACACAGACGCATCCTTTGCCTTGCATTACTGTTAAGATCTCCGATTACAACAAGCCAAAAACTCCTTCTCAAAACAGGATTTACTACCGACTCCGTGCTGTCTGCCATGTGAGTGCCTCCCCTGCCAGGACAGCAGGAGGAATGAGAGAGGCTCCTCATGGTTTCTCTTTCTGTTCCGCATAGCCCAGGCAATATTTACAGCTGCATTTGGGTGCCTGGGGCTGGGGGGGGAAGCCTTCAGTTTATAAATAATCCTCACTGATGTTTGGGTAATTTTCATAGTTTCCATTCATTTCAGGTTTCACCAAAACCTGCATTTTGTGGTTTGATGGTTGAACGTGACTGGCTGCCTGGCTCTCAGTTAACTGCCCAGAAGTTAACGGTTGTTCATTCATTTCTGCCTTGCCAAGTCCAGCTCACACACCTAGTACCCCGTGCCCCTTAACAATCATCCTTTGGAAACCATATGCCAACCCCTGGGCACAAACACTTTGCAGAGACAGGAAGTGCAGGAGGGAGAACCAGGCAACATCCCACACCACGGGCAAAGCAGATGAGCCACTGCATTTGGGACAGGTCAGGATCCACTCTGCACAGTGCAGAGCAAACAGACAACAGCAATTCCTTGAAGCTTCCAAAGACAGACCCTGATAAACTCCTCATCTATCCTCACATTCCACAGAGGGCCAAGGAAATTGTGGGTTCAAGAGAATGTTAGAGTGGAGCCTGGCAGGCTCTTAATTCTGTTGGTCTACTGATGAAACAAAGAGGGAACTGGCAGCCAATCTTTGTTGCTTGACTGAGCACCTGACAGAAGCCACAGAGCAGCCCCAGTTGTGGTGCTCAGGTAAATGGCTCCACATTTTGCCAAACCCACATTTCCAGTGATTCTGCTGCAGCAGTGACCGAATGCAACAAAATTCTTGTTTACTGATGCTTGCAAATAATGATATATAATCCCCTGCCTACAACCCTCCATTCTCCTGGTTCCTGTCTCTTGGCAACTGATAAATAATTTATAGTGCCGTATGTGCTAACTGCAGCTCTGCTGGTTTAATGATGAAACCAATGCCTAAGAACCGGAACAGGAACTGTCTAGATCACCAAGAGCACGCAATCAGTCGATCCCACACTCCTCTGTATGTGAAACCAAAAGCAAATTATTCAAAAAAACCCTGTGTTTTCCAGAGTTGCGGCTGTGGGGTAGGAACAGCACCCACAGAACTGCACATAATCTGCAAGGTGCTCCTGCCAACACCAGGAGCTTAATGGGCTTCACCATTTTGCTCTGCTCTATTTGCATGCATGGCAGAACTCACCACAGGCTGCTTTTATTGTCAACTTCTCTCCTGCACCCCTGTGCAATGTGGAAAACCTCCGAGTTCACATCCCCAAAGGTACCGCTGCTGCCTGTGCTGGGGGCTACAAAAGCTATTTTACCTCCCATGCAAGGAGAGCTGCTAAAAAGCAGCATCTTGGCTATGCAGATTACTGTGGTTCTTGCACCAAAAAAAAAAAAAAAAGGAGACTCTTCATTTCATGACAGATGTTCTTCGAGTCTTTCCAACAGAGCTGGAAAACCGCTCACGAAAACCGGCATGTTTGAACCACACACAACACACGTATGCTGGGTGTGCACTATTGTGGCAACACATCCTCTTATATCCACAAACTCATCGGAGTGAGATTATCCAGGCAGTCGGCAACTTTAGCCATAAGGGCAGAGGAGTGGAAGTTTCTGTTTTATTGTTAGATTCTTTTTCTTAAAAACAAAAACAAAAAACAAAACACCTCCCCCCCACCAAAAAAAAAAATGAGCGGAGAGCAGGGAAGGGATGAAGTATCCCAGTTGACAAAGGCCAAAATCCCATCTATTTATATTAGAGGCACACAAACCCCACAACAGAGCACTGCTCAGAAGCTTTAAAAAATGCACCTACTTCCTTAATGCTCTTAGAAAATAATAATAAAAACCCCCTATCAATATTCACTTTCTGAAATGGTGTAAAAAAAGAGCTGCATCAATCATTAAACAGTTAAATGAAGGCAGTATGACAGTCACTATTGTTCTCGTGAAGCACACTTGTCTTTTGCCGAGCAGCTGCCAGATCCTATTAGATGTATAAAAAGAGGACTTTTCTAACCGAGTAGGGATGGTATAAGCTATTGAAAACAGCAGACAAAAGCCCACTTTTGCAGACTATTCAAGCCTTGTATAACATCTGTCCAAAATCAATTTTTGACCTAATGTTACTTTCATTAAGTAACAGACTTTGTTTCCAATGCAATTTGTTTTCTAGGATAAAACTGTATCCTAAGCGTTATTACGTGGGAAACAGCACAGAGGAAGCAGAAAATCTTATTTGAGAAACATGAGAACAGAATTTGCTTAATTGTTTTGACACCTTAAGTACTATAATAGAGAAACTATTTTCCATTTATTTGAATTCTTGTGAATTCTTGCAGTTGGCAAAGCAGAGAGCAATGCACCGGGTTTATTATGACTACGATTTGCTGAGGATAAAGAAGGATCTTTGGGAATTACATTAAAGCTGACAAATGCACAAAACTTCTGAAATCTCCACCAGAAATAAAGTACTCCGAACATTAACAACAGCTGTTGAAACTGTCCAGTCTTGACGGCCAAGGCTTTTTTCACACATTTTAAACAATGAGGAAGTTGATTCGTGAATTTGATTTCAAACAGACCGTTAAGAAACATTTCCACTTACCCAAAGGGTCTCTGAATGAAGGCTGGATGTAGCTGCTGCACACCTATGGTAAAACCTAAAAAAAAAACAGGTTCAGAAAAAAAGAAATATTAATGAATGGCACCCATTGTACCATTCAATTCGTAACTTGCAGGCATAATTACACCACATGGATATGCATTTTATCTGCTATGCATGTGAGCAAATTCAGAGCTCCATTTAGAAGCAAGTTAAATTTAACATGCGTATGTCATATGCACGAGGAGCAGATGGGAATTCAGATGAAAGACCAGTGTGAACGCGCTGTTATGGAACAGACAATGGGGTAAAAAGCCTTATTTTACACACTGGGTACCGTGCTCATTAAACCAAAGGGTGGAATGATGAAATGGATCTTAGAGTTAATTCCCATTTAACGAAGAGAATAACAGGCAAACAGATCAGCCATGGAAGAAAATAGCTTTAACTCAGTTCTATGAACTTCGGTGTGTAACAGGTACAAGTAAGAAGATACAGAAGGGAGGTAACTGGACTACGCTGTGTCCTCAGCCAACAATCGGAACTATGGGAGACAGATAAGTGTGCACCAGATCAGATGAATCCAGCCTGAGGAACTTGTTTCCTCGTCTTACAAGTTATTCTAATAGAGACGGTCTCTCCTGGATGCCTCACCAGTTTGAATACTCCTTGGTTTTGCTCCCAAATACGCCAGGTTCACATTCGCTTTCCTGCCGTCAATGATGGGGTTTGGGTCTTTGCATGCTCTTTCTGCAGCAGCTCTGTCTGCCATGGTCACCTGGAATCAAGCACAGCCTTGTTTGTAGCAACAGTGCTTTGTAAACACTCCAGCAACAGGCACTAAGCGGAGTTTATTTATTGTTCTATTTTGAATCAGG